CGGAAGGGGTGCGCAGCGCGTCCCGAGGTCGCTCCTAGACGACGCGGCGCACGTCGCGGCGGCTCCGGGCAGCTGTATGGCAGGTATTTTGTACAAAAAATCAAGGATACACAGGTATCCTAGAAAAGTAGAAATTCAGCACAGGTTACGCACTATTCATTTAAAAAATGCACGGGTTGTACCATTTAATGAAAGACGTAGGTCATTTGGCTGTAAATTACACAGGTTGTCCCTATGACACAGGTTTAGAAAGTAAGATACACACAGGCTGAAACTGCAGCTCAAGCTACCCTGCAACAATTGCACAGGTTTTGTGGTCTACACAGATTCATCTGCAGCTTGTTGACTGTTGCAACACAGGCTGATAAGTACCTTAGTTCAAACTGATAACCCCCTCTTCATATAAGTCCAAATTCCAACTGATAACACTGCTATTGGCAAAGGATTGCAATTATTATTTTGAATAAGTTCCACACCACCAAGTATACATGATGACTAGCTAAAAATGAAATATGCGGAAATTGCACCACACACAACTGTTGGACTACCCATCCCACTTTCCCAGCCCATTATAGCTGCTAAGCATCATTACCTCAGGTGACTAAGCCAGGTACTTGTTAGGACTGTGCCGCCGGAGTTCCGGAGTTCCGGGGTTAGGGGTCGGAGCTGGGCGGACACGGGGGGAGGACTTTGGTGAAGCTATTGGCAACGCCCTGAGGGTCCTGATGGTGTCCTCAATTTCAGAATCGGAGGTCGGGCGGAGATTGGACAGAGATTGGACAGAGGTCGGCAGAGAACGAACGGAGGCAGGGAGAGTAGATTGAAGTAAGATAACTGATAGAGTACAAGCGGAGCGTAAGGTAACGAGATATCTGAACTGAGGAACACCGCACTGGGTCTGAGGGTTTATATACTAAGAAACCGGTGTCTCCTAAGTCCGAATTGGAGGTGGAGGTCCGATCGGAGGTGACGGAATACCGACGCTAAGCGGAGAAGTGATGTAAGTGGCGCCAGGCACTGATATGGGAAAACGGACATTCAAGCGGAGATAGGGTAGACACTCAGAAAGCCATATGGGCCCCGGCGGGGAACGGAAAGGAAACGGAAAGAAAATCGGAACCAGTACGTAAGTATCTATTCGTAAGCAAGTCCGGAGGTCCAGCAGAGTTAGCGCAGTGTCCAACGGAGTTCCGGAGGGACTTGGGCACGGAACATAACAGTACTGCATTACTTCTCTGTGTTGGTGCATCAGCTGTGATGCCTACTGTTACAGTATATATATAGCTATCCTCGAAATGGTGCTAACTGATAACCTTCAAAGTGATAGTTGCATGAATACAATACTAAAACTACGTGAATGCCTGCATGTAATGCATAGTGACTACAGTGGGCTTAGTTGAGTCAGGCTTTCATTGCAGTTGTGCAAGAAGTACATTGCACAGCTCGGCGACAGAAGGGTGAAATGGCACAGGCAACAGGCTAGTTTATGTTCACTTTCAACATTTTTTTCTGAGCCCTGCATATAAAAGGCACATACCTGATGATGATGTCTGCCGCCACGACCAATTCAGTGGTTGCAACACAAAGGAGCGATGGCCGTGGAGGATTATAAGGAGTTGGTTGGACCTAATGGAGTCATGATGAAGAGCATATCTGAGCCTTGTTTCCGCTCACCTACTTGATGGTAGCACATATTATTGACAGTACAAACCAGAAATTAGTGAGGTTGGAAATTCTGCACTGTATTTGAATAATTGATTAATTTCAATGCTGAATAAAAATAACCTGTCTTTAACAACTAGGTGATCTGTGTGCAGATACAATCTACGTTTTTTGTGTCACCCTTGTAACCTGTGTACTCAAGTGCTCAAAGTGCAGCCTGTGTAGTCTTACAATGAACCTGCGCAAATTGTTTTTGTACCTACGTCTTTATGATCTAACCTGTGTGGTGTCCAACCTGCGCAATTAGAACCTGTGTCATGTTTAACCTGTGCTGGATTAGTAGTTTTGGGGACTTGATTTTTTGGACAAAATACCTTCCACACAGCTGCCGTGGCAACGACGCACACGGCGCGCCGTCGATCTTCGGCGACCCAGCGCGCTTTGCAGCGCCTCTTGAGGGCGAGAGAGAACTTGA